GTGGTGGAAGCATTCTGTATTTTGATTACAGTCATGGCTACTTAATTTATATATTTGTCAAATTTCATGGAACTCTACACATTAAAAGGGTAGACTGTCCTGTAAATAACTTGCAATAAACCAATTTTATAGCACATTATAGGCTTTCAATTATAAAAACATAATAAGTAAGTAAGAAAATAAGGACTTACTGAATGATGAAATGAAATGGGAAATGGGGCTGGGGTTGTAGATCAGTGGTAAAGCACTTGCCTAGCATACATGTGAGGCACTGGGTTTGATTCTCAGAGCCACAATAAATAAATAAAAAAAAGGTCCATTGACAAAAAAAAAAAAAAAAAAAAAAAAAAAAGAAATGGATTCCAGACTGAGATTAATATCAGTTTCATATGAACAAAATTTTGTGTTCATATAATTTTTTGTAGGCTTTTGCATTTCTTGGGGGATTACAGAACTTAATCTGGGCAATATATCATGCTAGGTCACAGAACTATTGGACCTTGAGATGCCCTCCTCATAGACAAGAGGTCTCTTTTTCATTATTCTTAAAGGTGAAGAAAAAACTCTTTAACCAGGTTCAGTGGTGTGTCCCTGTAATCCCAGAGACTCAGGAGGTTAAGGAAGGAAGATTGCAAATTTGAGGCCAGCCTCAGCAATTCAGCAAGGTCCTAAGTAATTTAGTGAGATCCTGAATTAAAAAAAAAAAAAAAAAGGACTGGGAATGTAGCCCAGCAGTTAAGCACCCCTGGCTCAAATTCCCAGCACACACAAAAAATTATTTTATAATTTTTAGGAATTAAAAACAATGACTTTGAGGGGCAAGGAGAGAAGAAATGCATTCAAACCATCAGAAACCTTGCATCATTCTCCAAAATATCTATACTAAATAGATCTAAAGCAGACTAACCACTCAGAGTTATAAGGCGGCTTAGCAGGTGCCCAGTTTCAACTTCAATTGGTGTGCAGTTTGGAAATGGCTCCTATCTCCTTTTTTCTTTTATAGTTTTAGTTGAAAATGGACACAATACTTTTATCTTTTTATTTTTGTGTGGTGCTGAGGATTGAACTTGCACGCTAGGCAAGCACTCTACCACTGAGACCTCTGAGCTACAACCCAGCCCAGCTCTTAATTTCTTATTCATGTTGAGGGTTGATGGTGAGTCAGGGTGACAACAGGTAGGACAGACAGTATAATAAACATCAGAGACACAAAAAAGAGGGGGAATAAGGGAAGAGAGAGAAAGAGTAAGAAGTATAGAGAGGAGAGGAGGAGGAGAGGAGACAAGAGAAGCCAAGGAGTCAGCTGCAGTTGCTGCAGGGGTCAATCACAGGTGCTGTCATTAATAAAACTCATGGCTTTATTAACCTGTGTCTGAGCCTCTGATCTTCAGGTGTGACTTCCTTTTTGACAAGTTGCATATTGAAAAGTACATGAAAAATTTAATTAAATTTTAATAAATAAACATTATATATGTTTGTAGCATATGACATGAAGTTTATATTGTGGAATGGCCAGATACCTATTTGCATTAACTCACCTAGAATTTTTTTGTGATGAGAATACTTCAAATCTGCATTGTTAGAAATTTTCAAGCATATGACATATAGTTGACTATGGTTATCATATGCACAGTAGATCTTTTGAATTTATTTCCGGTCAAGCTGAAACTGTGCATCCTTAGACATCTCTACTCTTCAGCTTTGGGCAACCACCATTCTCTGCTTCTATGGGTTTTATTTGTTTTTAGATTTCACAATAAGTGAGATCACACATATGTGTCTTCCTGTGCCTGCATTATTTCACTTAACATGATGCTTCTGTGTTCACCGATGGTTGATGTAAATGACAGTATCTCCTCCGTTTTGATGGCCAAATAGTATTCCATTGTATTTATATACCACATTTTCTTAATCTAGTCATCTGCTGATGGACATTTATGTTGATTCCTTATCTTGGCTATTATGAGTAATGCTGTAATAAGCATGGGCCCACAGATTAACTCTGTGATATACTGATTTCGTTTCTTTTGGATATAAACCCAGTAGTGGGATTGCTGGACCACTTGGTATTCTGTATCTAAGTTTTTGAGGAATCTCCATACAACTTTTCCACAATGCCTGTCCTAGTCTGCATTCCTACCAAGAAGACACAGGGTTCCTTTTTCTCCTCATCCTGGCCAACACTTGTCATCTTTTGTCCTGTTATAATAGCTCTTGTAGCAAGTATGAGGTGATATCACATGGTGGTTTTAATTTGTATTTCTCTGAACATGAGCAATGTTGAACATTGTTCATTTGAATGTCTTCTTTTGAGAAATGACTATTCAGATCCTTTGCCCATTTTAAAATCTGGTTATTTTTTTTTTTCTGTTTCGTTTTCTGCTATTGAATGGTTAGAGTTCCTCTTATATTTTGGATATTAACCCTGAGTCAGATACACAGTTTTGAAATATTCATTCAGTGACTTTTCTATTCTACCCTAGACTGTTCTTTCCTTTTAAAAATGCATTTTCAGACCTACTAAAATGACATAACGCTTTTTTAGAGTCTCAGGATCTTTGATCTGAAAAACACGTACCCAGAGCCGTGTCTTTCAACGTGTGATTCACAGACCATATGAATCATAGTCACAGGGGATGCCCCAAAGAGGGGTGTGTTGGATTAAATGTAGATTCCAGTTTCCACAAGAGAACTGTTGAAGCCCTTGATACAGTGGCTTGAATTTTACGTTTTTATGAAATTACTAGCTGATTCTTATGCCCGCTGAAGAATGGGAACCCCTGGCCCAGAGAGTACAAGATGCCCTACAAATAATTCCCTACCGTGATCTCTGAGGCCCAGGAGGACTGCAGCAGAAGCACCTCAGGGAAATATCCACAGAGCTGCTCCTCTCTATCTGGAGTGTTAAGTAGTTTCCACTCCTAAGAAGCAGCTTTGAAATTTTAGGGCGAGAAAATGGAGGTGACAGTCGTTTTGAAGCTTTAGCTCCAAAAATAAAAATGTGTTAAGGTTCTTAAATGTCTGGCCAAGGGAGAAACATTGGAAAAGGAACGGCTCCTCCTAGCGGTAAGAGAAAGTATTACAAAGCACGCTTTCCCATTCAAGAGGAAGAGATTCTTCAGAATTTCAGCTTCTCAGTGTGGGAGATGTGGAACAACTTAGCAGAACTTTACATAGTCCCGTGTTAGAGTATGTAAGTTAAAATATGTTCTCAAGGAACACGTTCTTGTGACCTTGAAGGAGAAAGAGCACATTTTTATGGGGAATGGATTTTTGGTAGTCTTAGGAAACTGTGGGTATCCTGAGATAGTCTCAATATAGAGAGTGCTGTATGTATGCATTTTAAAATTAAATATATGCCATAGAGAAAAAGGAACTTACGGCATTTGCAGGAAAATGGATGAAACTTGGGACCACTATGTTAAGCCAAACAAGCCAAACTCAGTAGGTCAAGGGCCCTATGTTTTCTCTCTTATGTGGAAGCCAAAGAGGAAAAGGAAAAGAAAGTGTGTGTGTGTGTGTGTGTGTGTGTGTGTGTGTGTGATAGCTCATGAAAATCAAAGGGAGATCATAGAGGAAAGGGACCAGGAAGGGAGGAGACAAGGAAGGGGGCAAGTGCTGGGGAGGGATATTGGCCAAATTATATTGTTACACTGTGTGCATGTGTGAATATGTAACCACAAATCCCATCATTAACGTAAAACTATAATGCACCAATAAAATATGTGGAGAAAAAATTAAATATATGCTGAAAGTAAACACATGTATATAGACAGAAAACACACACACTATATATATATATATATATATATTTGTACTTATATGAAATAAATATCTTTTGTTACTTCTCAATTTGTTTTTTTTCCTCTGGAAAGTGAAGACTGAATGTAGAATAAGCTTAGCAAAAAGTATAAAGAAGGAAGCTTAATTTTTATGAAAAGTTTGATTTTAAAAAATAAAATGATTTATAAGAAAGAAAATAATCTACTATTGTGATAGACAAAGGCACATCCTGGGCATGGCAGATGTGATTCTGTACTCTAGTTCAAAGAGAAGTTGGATTTGTTCTTGGAGTTTTTGTTCATGGGCAAGTGGATACAAAATTCAAGGACAGAGTCAGAAATAGGGTGAACAATTTTAGCTCTAGACAGGAATTGGCAGCTGCTGGAAAGCAGCAAACACAGATTAAAAAAATAAATCCTTTGGGCTGAAGTTGTGGCTCATTGTTAGAATGCTTGCCTAGCATGTTCAAGGCCCTGGGTTCAATTCTCAGCACCACATAAAAATAAATAAGTAAAATAAAGGTATTGTGTCCAACTACAACTAAAAAATAAAAAAAAATATTAAAAAAGTCTTTCAACTTTAGTAAATCATCCACATGTCCAGGATCAAATATAAGAAAATGTGGATTTTGTTGATTGTGCCTGCCTGGCTTTGCCTAGGCCACCATGCTGAAGTGATCTGTTTTTCTGTGCTTGGGTCCCTCAGGCTACCTTTGACATCCTGGGCTTGGATTGATCCCCTTTGGGTCCCTCCACTGAAGCATTCCTGTGCTACTTCTCCTCCACTCTGGAAGGATACCTGGGCCTTCCATAAGTTCACCTAAAATGAATCGTCCCATAAGATAACCAAAACCAATCCCCCGAGAGGTCCTGCTGAGAGTGGATTTAGAAATACATCCCCTCCCATGCCCTGCTGTGACCATCAACACTATAATTGGAAGCTGAGGTTGCTGTGTCCTGGAGCTGTATATAATTTTTAAAGTTGTGGCACGTTCTCTGTGAACCGTGTCTAATATTTGAAATATCTCAAGAGCAGAAATTTGAGGTCAGAACAAGGGAGAGACAGTAGGCAGTGACACAGATGGTTGGGAAGGGCTTTGTTTAGAGCAGATTCCCTTTGCCTGTGTTTCCTCCTAGATCACACCATACAAATGTTTCTTTACTTCCCTTCCATTATACTAGACACCTGGCAGATTAAACTGAGTTGTTGCAGGCCAATCAACATATCCAGTCCAAATTTTAATTCATTTCCAATTTCAGCCTAACAAATAGGTTTCTCGGACACTGACTAGAATCAAATGATATTTCTTCCTTCTATTAAAGAGGTGCTAAAGAGAATCCTATAAAGAATGAAGAGAATGGGCAGATTTGTAATCTTTAGCTGATCAGTCCCTGAATGATGGAAAGTAGGTTTTCTTCTTTAGGTTTTATTTCTTGGGCATGTGCGAGCCAGGCATGTTCTAGAGATGCGGGTGGGATAGGATTCCTTTCTTCCTGGAGGTCTGCTCAGGAATGAATGACTGTAAATGTTAGGGTTAGGGTTGAAATTCTTACAGGAGTCTGAAGTCTTGCAATATGTCCTCTTTTGTGAAGTAAGGACCAACAAGTGCCTCTCACGATACTACAACAGAGGAGACATTAATATAGGTGAGGTAGTTTCAGATTCTGACAAATCCTGTCAGAGGCAGCAGGGACAGTAGAGTGTGCACTCAGCTGAGGGTTTGAGAGTCTTGCCTCTGCCATTCATTAACTAGGAAATCTTTGTTAGAACATGAAACTTCCCTCATCTTATGCAAAGGAAAAACTGAAACCAAATTCTCCAAGGTTAGTGATGGAAGACCAACTTCTACATAAGGAGAAGTAGTTGGGTTTTATAGACTTTACTTCTGTCCCTGGAAGTCATTTTACTAATTATCTCCTAGGCAACACATGATGCTACCACAACTCCAAAGTCAAGAGATAATTTCTGTTTAGACTCTATTCCCTCACCTGTAAGATGAGGTATTTGGATGGTATAAGCATTTGAGTTCCTTTAAGAGCTGACAGTTTATAGACGTGAAGCTCTAATTTGCCATCAGTCTCACCCAGAGAAAAACTTACAGAGGTGATTGTCTCAGGGAAGACTTAGTAGAGGACTCCGCTGTGGAGCAAGGATAAAATTTGGTCTCAAGATGGTATATTGAAGGGAACTTTCTATTGTGTCATAAGGAAATATTTTTTTCAGTTCTTATTTTCCAATCTGGAATTCATAGCATCTATTGCTTTTCAGAAGGTCCAAGTCTTTTCTTCAGTCTCCTCATGGCTGACTTCATCTCATGGTTCCTCAGGGTGTAGATCATGGGGTTCAGAACAGGGATGATGACAGTGAAGGTGATGGAGACAGCTCTGTCCATGGGGAGGGCAGTGAAGGGTCGGGCGTAGACATAGATGCAGGGCACAAAATGCAGGGTCACCACAGTGATGTGGGAGGTGCAGGTGGAGATGGCTTTCCTCTTGCCCTCTCCGGTGTGTGACCTCAGCATGGTCAGGATGACTGTGTAGGACACAAGGAGGAAGACAAACCACAGGGTGGAGATCAAGCCATTGTTGGAAATCATTAAGACCTCAAGAGCGAATGTGTCAGTGCAGGCGAGTTTGAGGACCTGGGGGACGTCACAGTAGAAGCCATCAACAACATTGGGTCCACAGAAGGGCAGCGGGAGCAAGAGGGAGATCTGCACGATGGAGTGGATGAAGCCCCCCACCCAGGAGGCCACGATGAGGGCAGTGCATCTCCCCCGACTCATGATGGTCACGTAGTGCAGGGGCTTGGAGATGGCCATGTAGCGGTCAAATGCCATGACAGAGAGGGAGAAAATGTCTGCCCCACCAAGGAGATGGAAGAAGAACATCTGGGTGATGCACCCATTGAAGGAGATGGCCTTTTTCCTTGACAGAAGGTCCACCAAGACCTTAGGAGCCGTGATGGAGGAGAAGCAGATGTCCAAGACAGAGAGGTTGCGGAGCAGGAAGTACATGGGGGTATGAAGGCGGGACTCCCAGGTCACAGCGACCATGATGAGGAGGTTCCCCATCACAGTTGCTGTGTACACACAAAATAAGAAAATAAATAAGAGCAAGCTCAGCTCTCGGGATTGGGTCAATCCTTGAAGAATAAATTCTTTCACCCTGGTGTAATTTCCCTGCTCCATTGGATCATGTTTCTTCTACTTCTTCAACCACCTGGGGAGAAAATACTCTTGTTATAGAAGGTACATCACTGAAAACAAAAAGAAGTCAAGTTTGTGTACTTGGGATGTTATTTTTTTAGGGCCATTTTCTGTTTGGGCAAGGATGTCTAAGGTAAGCTGTCCTTGGTAGATAATTGGTGTTTTAGTCAGCTTTTTTGCTGCTGTGACTAAAGGACTGGACCAGAACAACTGTAGAGGAGGAAAAATATGTAGGGACTCACAATTTCAGAGCTATCCATCCATAGATAGCAAGCTCCATCCCTCAGGGCTCAAGGTGAGGCATCATGGCGGAAGAGTGTGGCAGAGGGAAGTAGCTCACATGGTGATTAGGAAGGAGGGGGAGAGAGAGAGAGAGAGAGAGAGAGAGAGAGAGAGAGAGAGAGAGAGAGAGAGACTCCCCTGGCCAGATACAAAGTATATACCCCATAGGCATGCCCCCAATGAACCACTTTCCCCAGCCACACCCACCTGTCTTCAGGTACTACTAAGTTTATCCCATCAGGGATTAATTTACTGATTAGGTCAAGGCTATAACCATTTCTCTTTCAAACTTTCTTACATTGTCTCACATGTGAGCTTTTGGGGGACATCACATCCAAATCATAACAATTGGTGTTTCTTCAGTTCTTTCAGAGTGGAATAAAGAGTGGATTTCTAATGATGTCATTGATTGAAAGTCATCTATTGGTATGTTCATAAAATTCTACTTAACAAATTTCATGGTTGGAAAATTTTATATAGTCTATATTCCTCTTGAAAATTTAGTAAATTCTCTGAGAAGTAAAGATGCTATTTAAATTTATTCAACCCAAGTTTACCTCAGACCACTCTCTCCCTCTTATTTACATTGATCAAATCTAGTCTTCCAAATGACATTATTTGAGTCATACTGACTAAAATGCACTATTGTAGATTTCCTGCAAAATATATTTCTTTGAAATAATTGCAGGTATGTTCAAATCTGGCATTTAAAAGATATGTGGTTCTAGGGCTGGGGATGTGGCTGAAGCGGTAGCGTGCTTGCCTGGCATGTATGCGGCCTGGGTTCGATCCTCAGCACTACATACAAACCAAGATGTTGTGTCGGCCAAAAACTAAAAGAAAAAATAAATATTAAAATTCTCTCTCTCAAAAAAAAAAAGGTATGTGGTTCTAAACCATGGAATATCATTCACTGATAAAAAGAAAAAAGCTCTTAAGGCCTGGGTGGGCCTGGAGGAAACTTAAATGTTATTGCTTAGTGAAAGGAGCCAATCTGAAAAGGTACAAGCTGTATGATTCCAAGTATGTGACATGCTTGGAAAGACACAAAACTGTAGGGACAATAAAGTGGTAAGTGCTCACCAGGGGCTGGGATAGGAAGGGTGAATAGGTGGAGCACAGGAGGTTTTTAGGGTAGAGAAACTGTCTTGTATGATGCTCTAATAAGCTGTCTATGATACTGTAATCGATGCTACAACTATCCTGGATGATACTATAATCACGGATATATGACATCACACATTTGTCAAAACCTGTTGAAGTGTACAACAGAGTGATCCCTAATGTAAGTTATGGACTTTAGTTAATAATAACACTCCAATATTGGTTCATCAATTGTTAACTAATGTACTACACTAATGAAAGATTTTATTAATGATAAGGGAAACTGGTGGTGGTGAAGAGAGCGGGTATATGGGAACTCTCTGCACTTACTGTTCAGTTTTTCTGTGAACCTAAAACTGCTCTAAGAAGTAAAATCTATTATTTTTATTTTTTTTTTAAAGAACAGATGTGCCAAAGGATAAAAAGGTCTAAAACATAATGCAAAGGTACACACTTTTTAAACTTTTATTACCAAACTTTACTTCCTCCAAATCCCAATTCAACTCTTTCCCTTGCTTCGCACCCTGTTTCAAAGAGTGTGAAATAAGTTTAAAATAAGTACAATGCTTTGAGCATTGATACACATCTGGATATAGTGGTTTTGTTAATTGCTCAAAGTGAAATTGCCTGTTGTGGCTTTCTTTTTGCTTTTTAAAATCGGCTTTACTGAGGTGTAATTTACCTACAATGAACTTTGCACATTTAAAGGATAGAATTTGATGGGTTCTAACATCAAGATACATAATATTTGTGTGTGTGTATTTATATATATGTGCATACATTATCTATCTGTCTGTCTGTCTATCTATCTATCTATCTAATCTCGGAGAAACCACCATAATTAGGATAATGAATACTTTCGTCACCCCACAACATTTCCTCATGCTTCTGAGAACTGCAGAATTGTCAGACCAAAGCAATTGTACTAGACCAAAATCTAGCATGGTATGTTAGTCAGTTTTCGTTGCTGTGACAAAATACTGGGTATACACAACTCAAAAAGAGGAAATGCTCATTCTGGCTGGTTTCAGAGGTTTTAGTCTGTGGTGGTTGGGCCTGTGGCTTTGTGCCTGTGGCAGCACGGGACATTACCTCAAGGTGGTAGCATGGGGTAGAGGCCGCTGCTCACCTCATGGCAGCCAGGGGGCAAAAAGAGAGAGGAAAGGGCTGGGGTCCCCACATCCCCCTCCAGGACATGCCCCCAGGACCTGCCTCCTTCTGCTCTGCTCCTCCTCCTAAGTGTTCCACCACCTCCCTACTGTGCCACAGGCTGGTGACCAAGCCTGCAGTCCTTGGGCCTCTGGGGCACATTTAAGACCCCATCATGACACATGGCTTCCAGCTGCGTAAGGTCATAAGGCCGTGTCCCTCAGATGGCCCCAGATCCTCATTAAAATGCCTGCCCAAGAAAGCCAAGGCGTCCAGGAGAATTTGCTGTGTGTTCTATTGAAAAGCCTGACCGTGGGCCCTGACCTCCCTTCCTTAAAGCATTTACTAAAAAGAGCTCGCAATTGTGCGTAAGTGTCTCTTAAAGCCTCAGAAATTTCTTTCTCCTGGACCTGCGAGCCATTTCTTTGTCTTTTTTCAGGAAGGCCGGATCCTCTGCCTGCGTCCCTGCAGGGGCTCTGCAGGAGAGCCTAATCCTGGCTTTGAGAACCGCTGCCCCAGACGTGTCTGCCTAATCGCATTTGCGCTCACCAGGCCTCAGCAATTTTTTTACCTCCTGACTCTGACCCGCTATTCTCCCTGGCCTTCTTTTGTCCCTTCGAATGCCCACATCGCTGCTTCACAATGACAACAGGGCTCGGCTGCATCCCCTTCCGTTGGTAGACACTGAGTCAAGTCTGTTTCACGGTTCTAAGGACCGTCTGGCTGTGCTCGTCTTTGACATGCCTTTGTACCCTCCCCTGGGCATTCTGCCCACACTGAGGTCAACCCTGGTCCTGCTCTTAACCACGGAGCTCTCTGGGTCCCCCAGGACTTTTCCTCCGATTTTATTACCAGAATAGAACTTGGGTGAGCTCACTTTCTTCCTAGGTTCTTGTTCTTTCCTTTGACGTTTAAGCCACACAAAGCTAATTCTGCAGTCTTACTTCCATCTGTTAATTAATCCAACAATAACTCAGAGGATTTAATTGCTTTCAAATGTTTAAAAAAAGTGGCCAGGTAGTTTCTTCGGAGTAAATATTTTGAAAAATAATAATAATAATAAAAAAGAAAATCAGAACCCATGCAGTTTTTCAGATAATGCATAAAGGGCTCTTTTATTGTTTGTATTTGAACTATGAAAGGAGGTAACATGGTAGATTTACCCTAATTTGGGAGACTTGAGCTTTGATGCCAACCTCAGACATTGATGGAGAAATAGTACACTTTTATTTATTTATTACAGGGGATTGAACTAACTAGGGAAGCTTAACCTCTGAGACACATCCCCATCCCCCCCCATTTATTTATTTATTTAATTTAGAGACAGGATTCACTACGTTGCTTAGGGCCTCACTGAATTGCTGACTATGGCTTTGAACTCATGATCCTCCTGTCTCAGCCTCCCAAGCCACTGTGCCTAGTTCTTTTATTTATTTATTTTTTTAAACTGAGGGCCTTGTTCATGCTAGGCAAAAGTTCTACCCTTGAGTTACATCCCCAGCCATTTTTATTTTTTATTTTGAGATAGGGTCTGACTCAGTTGCCCAGGCTGGCCTAGAACTTGTGATCCTCCCCTCTCAGCCTCTCTAATAGCTGGGACTACATGTGTGTGACAGTGTACCTAGCAATAGCGGAGTCTTTAAAGGCACCTAGATGCTGTCTTTCATCAGTGAAATGGGAGCATTGGTGACCTCAAGCCCTTTTGAAGATGTGGGGGCGAGGGGGGTGGTGGTGTCTGCACAGCATGTAACCCTAATATGGCCTAAGGAACCCGCACATTCCAGCTCTTGGAGCCTTAACATTCAATTCTTCTCCCTAATGTTGTCCTCAGTTATCTGGCGACAAGGCACAGTTTTATTCTGTCCATTGCTTCATCATAGTTAAACCTCAAGTAACTACAAACCCCAGCTAGCCAGGTTTGTTTCTTGAAATTTAACTTTAAGCTGATTGGCACTGGCAAGAAAAATTTCAGAGATCAAGAATTTCTAAGATCAGTTTAGGGTAGTGGGAAAGAGACTGGGTTTTGCAACCCAGAATGGCCACTTTTAGATATTGGGCCTGTTGCTCTCTAGATGTTTAATCTTTGGATAGTTATTCAATGTTTCTATGTTTCCTCATCTCAACGATTGAGCTAATAAAGAGACTATTAAAGGAGATGACTCATGCAGGAAGTCTAGAAGCATATCTGATGTTCTTCCATACATTTTAGCTATGTTTATTGTAGGCTGAATTCAGGCATAAATACCTTCAGTATTATATAGTCTGTATTGATATTTAGAACAATTGTCCTGAGACCATGTAGGAATCTTGTATAAATTATCTATGGCTGCTTTTCAACAAATGACTTCAAACTTAGTGGTTTAAAACAACAAATTTTTTTTTCTCACAGTTTCTGAAGATTAGGAAAGTGGAACAGCTCCGTTGGTTCAGGATCTCTCAGGAGATTGCAGTCAGAATGTCTGCCAGGTCTACAGTCATCTTGAAGCATGACTCATTGAAAGATCCACTTCTGTGCTCATTGGTGTGAATCTTGGTAACAGGTCTCTGTTCTTCCCTGTGTAGGTCTCTCCATCAGTCTCTTAATAACTGACTTCCCCCAGGACAAATGATCTGAAATAGTGAGAAATTAGCGAAGGCCAGCAGCCTGAGTATCCTTTATAACTTCATCTTCTAAATGATGCATCTGATTTACTACATAATGGTGTGACTGAGAAAATGGGAAGTCATTGGGGACCTGCTGCTAAAAACACCCAAGTACTTAATATCCAAAAGCTTATGTTTACTGAAGCAGAAAAGTAAAATAATATATGACTCAGATCTCGAATCTCAATCCCAGTCACTACTTATTGTCTGTGTAACTTTGGGCAAATTATTTAGTCATGTCTTAGTTTTATTCTTTTGTGGATATCATCATAATTACACTTTTCCTCCAGAGAGGTTGGGGGATAAAATAAGAGAATGTATGCAAAACACATATGCTGTTTGTCTGATGAGCAGAAAGTTCTCAATAAATACTATTATTATTGTTACTTATTATGTTTACTGAAACAGAAAAATTAAAATAATACATGTAAGGAAGATTCTTAACAGAGTGTAGAAAGAAGAAGGTCTCTGGTCGGTTGTGGGTAGCGATAACATCCAAAGAATTAGAAATTTCCACGTGTAAAGAAAGAGCCAGCAGGTTGAAACACTCTCGGCTTTTGGCACCTTAGATGACAGCCCAGGGCTCTTACCTCCAGTGGCTTCTATGAGTAGGACGCAGCCTGTTTAGTTTCCCTGAAGCTCAAGGTCCTCTTCTTGACATTCTAGATTCAAGTGGAAAATTCCATCTCACTTCTACAGGTCACATTTTGAATGGAAATGTGGTTCATTTGTTACAGAGATTACCTGGCATTACTATAGTTACAGGTCACGATGGTCTAGAAATTAAACACTTCTGTTTTGAGTGTGGTTTATGTAATGATTCTTTGGTATCTATATTATGAAACTCTAAAAAGTTGAAAAATTTGACTCAGGCCTCAGGGTGCCAGTGGAGTAGCTCTGGTTACACTGGAGGATTAATGTGGATTTCTCTTGAGACGAACGGGGCTTGAGTTGTAGGGCCCCTCACCTGCCTGAGCCTCTGCCAAGGTTCTGGGACAAGCCCTGGCAACATGCTCAGATGGCCACATGTTTTTATAGTTTTCAAAAGTAAAATATTATAGCCACAAATCAGTTAAGACTCGTGTCTACTCCAGCTTCCTTTCCATCATATTTCTTATTCTGGGTGTCTTTGTAGAGGTCACAGGCATTTTGGAGATCCTGCTTTGGTGAGGTTGAATTAGGACATATACTTTTTGGGTCTACTGTAGGTATTTAAACGAGTTGCAGTCACTCTGTGTTTTAATAGCAAATGTTTCGTAGATTAGTAAATATTCATATGCTTCATAATTCATCAAGAGGCCTTGAACGACTTTGCTTAAAAGGCTGCAAATGTCTTTCCAGACAACTTCTGGCATTTGACCCCAGTGCCCCTTTTCTACCTGGCTCCAAAGTACTTTTTCCCCTTCTTGCTGCTCCCTTGAACAGTGTGTTCTTTCCAAACTGGACTTTGCTGACCATTGGACCATGCCTATGCTCATGGTCTTCCCTGGCCCCCAAATGGCCTTGTCCAATCATCTATAATGGTCCTTATTTCTTTTTGACTGAGTTGAATTGAAATACTTCATTCATCAATGAAGGTGAAATGAAACTCACAATAGGGAAGAATTGATACCTAGTAGTTGATAATATTATCAGTTTATGGAGTATTTAAGACTCCTTATCACTTCTTACCAAGAAAATATGAAATGCCATAACTTCTTAGAGCTCATACACAAGGCAAAATGGATAGTGATTTTTTTCCCCAATTTAACAATATTCCAACAATATAAATGATATAATAACCAACAACTTGTGAAGCCAAAGGGACCTTTTTTATACAACAGCAATAATAATAATAATAATAATAATATAATAATAATAATAATAATAATAATAATAATAATAATTTTAGCCTTATTTGTTTAGTACTGAGCATTGAACCCTGGGTCCTCATATATGCTAGGGAAGTGTTCTACCACTGAATTAAATCCCCAGTCCCTAAAAAACCCATTTTGATTAATCAGAGGAAAAATTGTTTCATCTCTCTATTTCTGTGTAGAAATAGCTTAAATGTTGGTATCAGAAGAGGTAATAAACAGCAAAATAAATGAAAGAATCAATTTTATAGAGGTGAGCCAGGGACTCACCTCCAGGAAATACCGTGTCTTACGTCAGGCAGGTTTGTACAGGGACCACTGTTTAACTTCAGGTCTTTGTAAAGACTGCGGCTCTAGCCTTGAAGCCAAAGATCTGATCTCTCCCTAGCCTTTTCCTGGACTTCAGGTGCAGAGTGTTCCCTGAACAGAATTGATGAGGCTGAAATCCTTCTTGGGAACACATCCCAAGAGGTTTGGGGTTCACTGCTCTCCTGCCCTAAGAACTGATTTTACTGCCAGGTACCATGCTTCTGACCTTCTGATGTCCATAGTCAGACAAGGAGAACAGAATGAAGCCTGCAAACATGTTTACAGGTTTTTCTTCTTAAATTTTAATTTTTGTATTTGTTGTTTTTAGATACACATGACAGTAGAGTGTATTTTGACATCTTACACGTACGTGGAGTATGACTTATTCTAATTATGTTTATGGTTGTTTGTTTCACTGTCGTGTATAATCATCACAGTTGGAGATGCCCAATCATAAAGTATTAGTTAAATGCATTTTTGTTAAGTCTCTTCAACTAGATTTCATGAAGCTTTTAAAAGGTTTCAGTAATTTTATGTATGGTGGTAGAAAAGTTGTTCATGATGTATTATGCAAAAGAGGCAGGTTGCAGAGAAGTATCTATAGTAGGATTTATTTATAGGAAAAAGTTAATTGTTTATAAAAAGTCTCAAAGCTGGTAATCGATGGTGATCTTTAAGAAATAAATTAATATGGAAGGATACTGCCTTATTATAAATATGTGTGTGTATGTACATATATCCTGTTGTTGAATACATAACAGTTATTTATTTTAACAATCCCGTGGAGTATCCAAACCACCACGGACTTATAAAAAATAATCTAGGTTATATTTAGATCTCCTTTTATGTCTGTTATACTTCACATGGTTAGGTTTATAAGTTATTATAAGAAGGACCAACATAGATAATAGAAAAAAAGCAATTCTAGGGCCACTGTTAAACTCAAAGCCAGAGCATATTCAAGAACCAAATGGTGTATAAATTATCATATTTAGGGCCACCCAAGTGCAGTTGGAGAAGGGGGACAGCAAACATGAATTGAAGTGCTCTGCTGGGTCTTTTACTTATTATAGTTTATTTAATACTGACAATAAAGCTATGAGGAAAATCTTTTGTTTCACAGTTGAGAAAATTGAAGCTGGGAGAATTTATTTGGCCAAGGTTATAAAGAAAGAATTCCTGAGAATTCCTGTGTGTGTATGTGTCTCTTTGGAACAGAAGAAAATAAAACACAGAAGTATTATTTGTAAGTTTTCTTTCCCAACTCTGCTCTTCCGAAAGTACATGTTGCTCCATCTCTTTTAATCAAGTAGACATTTCTGTGTCCTTCATAGAAAGGACACTTTCCTCATGTTGAAAAACAAATTATTATTCTCTGCATTCCTCCAGTTTTTAGCTTCAATGGATATCATCTTCTACATATCAAGAGCATCATTAACATCAAAACATTTCTAAATCTATAATAATATTTCAAAATTGATTAGGCAAGGACATGCCCACATAGACATACTGTCAGATATACAGACTCACTCCCCCAAATTTTAACTTAACATAAAGATCTTGTTTAAAGCCCCAAACTCTAATTTCCATCAAGAAGCAGAGTTGGCCATCTGATTCGTCAACTGACCTTTGGAGCCAATGCTTACGGAGGGCTGTTCTCCTTTAAGGCAGACATGCATCTGAGGCTTGGATGGTTCAGTATCTCCTCTCCTGCAGGCTCCAGGAATCATCTTTGCCTGGTTCTAAAACACTGCCCCTCAGTGCCCCTGACACGAGTACCAGTCCCTCCCTCAGTCTCATACCCAATAGAAGAATTACCAAGGGGAATATTTTTGGATGTGTTTGTTGAAGTTTCATGGCCAGAGTTTCCTATTGGGATGAAGCTCTGCTGGGAATTATTAAGAAGTCAAACGTGCCCTGGAAGATGTGTGCAAAATATACTTTGAAGAGAGGAGATAGATCCTTATAGGCCCTGTGATTAGAGCCCAGATTATCTTTGCTTGCTGGGCTCATAGGGGACAGACAAGTCTGTCTCTTTAAGCTGCAGGAGCTCAGGGAAAATGAATAGAACTCCCTATACAGTTTTTTTTCCTAGGAAAATGGTTTGCTTGTTGACCTATTAAAGTGCATAATCAGAAGCATCATAAAGACTGGGAAACACATTTTCTCTCTGCTTTCCACCACATTTCTCACATGCAGAGGAGAAACGTGCAGACAAAAAATGAGAACATATTGGCTTTGTTCAGTCACCAAATATTTAGTCATGAAGTATTAATTGAGCACTACCATTCCAGACTCTATGATTCCATAGATCCTAGGAGTGGAGAAGTTCATTTTTGCCTCTCAAAAATCTCTAAGACTCAGCTCACTGACTGTCAGTTTTGAAGCCTTATCTCTCACCATAGATCTATTGAGAGTCCCACTTATATTACACATCGCCAACTTAAAATGGCTAAAATTGATCTGATCATCATTATGAAGCACCAAACACAGCTTTTCTGTAGCTGCCACTATTATTCTTGTCAAGATTCAATGTCTCTGAATTGACTAACATGCCTCTTCCCCCTCCCCTATTTTTTTTTGTCTTCTGTAACTCTTCCTGAATAATTTACTTTTAAGCTTCGTTCATATTTGCAATGATTATTTTTGGAATGATCTTTTCATCTTTTTCTTCTAGAACTTTTCAGTCCTTGCCCCGTGTTCACACCCCTGTGCAATTCCCTCCCCTTGTGTGTGGGTTGGACCTAGGGAATCACGTCTAGTGAACAGAATACAGCAACAGTGATGGTTGTGACTTTGACCTTGCTGACATTTTCTCTTTTTCCTCTTGCTTGCCTGCTCTGGTGAAGTAAGCAGCCATGCTGGAGAGACCCACATGGCAAGACACTGTTGGTCTCCAGCCAACAGCCATTAAGGAACCTTAATCCTCAGTCCAAAAGCTTATGTCATCACATGGCCAATAATCACATGCATGAACAGGGAAAAGAATTTTTCCAAGCTTAAGATAAGGTTGCAACTTTCTGCTGACACCTGAATGACAGTCTTGTGAGAGATCCTGAAGTAGACAACCCAGCTAAGCCATGCATGATGGACAGAAACTTTGAAAAATATGCATTTTAAAAAACCACTTAGTTTGGGGGTAATACACTATGCAGCAATAGATTATTAATCCAGTACTGAGATAATAGTCTATTTTACTGGATAGAAGCTGTGTTGACAGCATTTTCTTTCAGACTTGAAAGATAAGTAATGCAGCGACAACAACGATACTAGGTGGATCCCTCCAGGGTAGTGTTTTGGACTGTAATATCATGGATGCTTAAATATGGTTACTGGGCTGCTGACCATGCTAAAGAAACTGAGCTGAAGCAACTTGAATCTCCAAATTCTTCAGAAGTTTAGAATGGTAGGACCACCCATAAACCCAGCCAGTTTGCATACAAAGATCAATTTATTTGCTTATAAAAAATACTGTGGAAATTTGAAATCATATACATATGCATATTAAAATCATATTAATCACACACACACACACACACACACACATATATATATATATAATTAAGCTAGAATCAGTTTAATATCATTTTAATGGTTCTCTAAGAAAAATGCTTCTACCTGAAGAAAACTATAGATGAATGTAAATAATTATCTGATTTTATGTTGAAAGAGAAGTGAATCTGATGGTGCTCTCCTGAATTCACCTGCCTTCCTTCACTGTGTCTGATGTAGTTGTTTTGCATGTGTCTCTATGAAGAGCAGCACGGGCAACTTTTGCTGGGTTGCCACCATTATTGGGGGTCCTACCCTTGGGAACACACTCTCTGATTGTGCAGGTCTTTGGCCACTTAAAATTCTGCTCATTCCTAGAGATCTTGCTTGAGCTAAAATCTACAGGGAGATAGAAAAAGGGAATCATTGCAGAAAGTATAGAGGGTGTGGGGAACCAGCAGGAGTGGATCCATGCTGTGCACAGTGATTTGGGGTCTGCAGATGGATCCCACTGAACACAAATGTATGTATTTATTAGATTTTAATGCTCAGGGCAATATGTCTAGCAATGGAAAATTGTTTAGATTATTAGGTTTTTTTTTTAATAGGAGCCTGTAATTTATTTATTTATTTATTTTTAATTTTTATTGTTGGTTGTTCAAAACATTACATACTTCTTGATATATCATATTTCACACTTTGATTCAAGTGGGTTATGAACTCCCATTTTTACCCCGTATACAGATTGCAGAATATGACTGCACAACCGGTGTGATTCTACATCATGTATAACCAGAAAAATGAGAAATTATACTCCATTTATGTATGATGTATCATAGTGCATTCTACTATCATGTATAACTAATCAAAACTAATTGAAAAAAAAAGGAAAAAAAAAGAAAATTGTTTAGAACGTTTTTGAGAGATGGAAATAAAATTGATATAGCAAAGTTCAACCAACAAAGAAGACACTCATTTTCTTTCTTTTTTTGCATGAATAATAGAATTGGTCCTTTGAGTTTTGGCATGATAGTGATTTCTTCCCTTCTGAGGAGGTGAAATTTAATGTCTGTCTTTAAATTTGCTCCTCTCTCATTCATCCCCAATTGGACTTAAGTCCTTTCTGAAGACCTTAGTTGTTTCTTTAGTCTCCTCATGGCTGACTTCATCTCCTGGTTCCTCAGAGTGTAGATCATAGGATTGAGCAGAGGGGAGATGACAGTGAAGGTGACAGAGATGGCCGTGTCTGTGGGGAGGGCGGTGAAGGGCCGGGCATAGACATAGATGCAGGGCACAAAGTGCAGGGTCACCACAGTGATGTGGGAGGTGCAGGTGGAGATGGCTTTCTTCCTGCCCTCTCCAACATGAGACCTGAGCATCATCAGGATGACTGTGTAAGATATGAGAAGAAAGAAGAATATGAACCAGCTGACTAATCCATTGTTAGAAATCATCAGGAGCTCCAGAGTGGAGGTGTCAGTACAGGCAAGTTTGAGGACCTGGGGGACATCGCAATAGAAAGTGTTAAGGACATTGGGTCCACAGAAGGGGAGTGGGAGCAAGAGGGAGATCTGCACGATGGAGTGGACGAAGCCCCCCACCCAGGAGGCCACGATGAGGGCAGTGCATCTCCCCCGACTCATGATGGTCATGTAGTGCAGGGGCTTGGAGATGGCTATGTAGCGATCAAACGCCATGACAGAGAGGGAGAACACATCGGCTCCCCCTAGAAGGTGGAAGAAGAACATCTGGGTGACACAGCCACTGAAGGAGATGGTCTTTCTCTCTGACAGAAGATCTATCAGAGCCTTAGGAGCTGTGATGGAGGAAAAGCAGATGTCAAGAACAGAGAGATTGCGGAGCAGGAAGTACATGGGGGTGTGAAGATGAGATTCCCAGGTGACCGTAACCATGATGAGGAGATTGCCCATCAGAGTAGTCGTGTACACCAGAAGCAAGAAGAAGAATAAGACCCAGCTCAGCTCTCTGGACTGAGTAATTCCCAGAAAGATAAGTTCTTTCACTCTTGTGTCATTTCCTGAATCCATTGCCTCACAGATACTTTTTCAAGTTCATCTCTGGAAGAAATAACAGTAGAGTTATTAAAATATGGTCTGAAGTCTAGTGTCATCTTTTAGATTTGGGGGGAATATTTTTTCTACTTATGCACTGGGTCTACTATTCAGAATGTTGCCATTAGTTGAACAGTTACCCAGGATTTTGACTCAGTTTTCTAAGCAGACAGATCTATCACTGAAGTCACCAAAGATTTTACTACAAAATCTGACACCTAAAATAATAAAAAGCAAGTATAAATTTGACCACTTTAACAATTTCTGTTCAGAAGCCATCATTAAGACAGTTAAAAGGTTTCCTGAAAAAAAGGAGAAGACATTTACATTAAACAATAAAACAGTCATGTTCAGAATATGTAAAGAGTTGCAAATCAGTTCAAAAAAACCCCCAGATGATCCAACCCAAAATAGCAAAAGGTAGGAATCAACATTTTGCAAAACAGGATATCTAAATTCCAATTCCACTTTTCTTGTTAGCATGGAAATGCAAATTAAAATGACAGGAATCAAGTGCTATATACACATTAGAAAGGCTAAATTGGGAAAGATGAAAAACCCCCGAAGTGATGGTGAGGGATGGAACAGTTGCAAGTTTTGCACATGGATGGTGGGTGTGTCAAACTGGCACAACCACTTTGCTGCTTGTGTCTTCTGATAAAACTGTATATGTAATTAGATATAAATGCACATTTCCTAAAGGTCTATTTCTGCATCTGAATCTCTCCTAAGGATGTTTCTTCTCCTAAGGAATATGTACACATGTCTACCAAGAGACAGATCCTAGAGTTTTCATAGCACCACTGTTCCTAACTCCCTCAAACTAGGAAAGGACCTAAAAAACTCACTAACAGTAGAAAACATAAATCGTGTCACAGTCACAACAGACTATGCAGCGGTTAGAGTGACTTATGTTATATGTAAGAATATAAGTGAGTCTCACAAACACCATGTTGTGCTGGATAACCCACACTCCAAAGGGAACACACTCTCACTTTGCTCACATGGGCAGAATTGAAGGGAGCCTGAGGAGGCTTCTGTGGTGCTGATGAAATTCTGGGGCTGGTTCCAAAGGTGTATTCAGCTTGTGTAAAAATTCATTGTTCTCTACGCTCACAGGCATTTTTCTGTATGTCAGTATATTTCAGGATGAAGTTACAACT